AGACAACATGCAAACTTCATGCAGAAAGACCCCAGGCTGGGAATCAACCCCACAACCATCTTGCTGCAAGGCAACAGCGTTACCAACTGCGCATTGCTGATAATTGTTTATTGGACATTTTTTTAAACAAGTACAGCAGATACTCTGATTTTAGTTATTTCCCTTTAAATGCACAGAAAGCTTTTACTTGTTTTCAGAAACAGAGCGATTTAATCCTGCTCACTTAATTCAGAATAATCAACAATCTAATTTAAATTTAGAACAAATAACATGCAGCCCAATTTGACAACTTATCGGTGTTGCCAAATAATGAGTTAAGATTCCCAACTACACATTTTAATAAATTGAGAATGCTGCACAATGAGTTTATTTTGCATTTCTAGAGCAATTTGTAATCCATTAGTTTTTTAATATATTTTATTTTACGTACTCAGCCGTACCCTCAAAAATTTAAAACCCCTGTTCTTATCCTTTTCAAAGAAAGCAAAGCAAGTAATTAAAATGTTCTGAAAATAAAATAAAATACTGATATTTTATTGCCATTTTTATATTTTAATTTATATAAACTTGCATTTTGGAACAATGCAAGAACATAAATGAACCATATATTTGTATAAAACTGTATGTAAAGCTCAGTTTGATTAACCAACTGTAACAACAATAAAGAGATTTGGTAAAACACACTGACCATCGAGGTAAGGTCAGTGTCTGGCATAAAACAAGTTCCTGCAAGGAGGCGCCATAATGTTACTGCGTGGGAAATTCCCACCACACTTTCTCACGAACTAAAACACTTTAAAAACACGACAAAAACAATATAATAGCAGAAATGGCATGACCTAGAATAAACGTATTTCAATAACATGCAAAAAAGAAAACCATAAACATATTTTATAAAATGCATAAATGTATGCAAATGCAAATAGGTCAGTTATGACATCACTCACTGTGATGTCACAATATAATTCTCTTTTGTTATGACATCATAGAACAGTCTTAAGACTGTTGAACTTTCCCAAGATCTTTCATTCGAGCACAGAAGAAAGACTGGGAACTTGTTCTAAAACTTGCACAACTTGTTCTCAAACTTGTACGATGGAGGATCTAGAATTGATTGAGGAACTTCAGGAATTTTATCTGAAGATACAAAGAAAGAGGTTACAATTTTTGAGTACAGAGGAATTATTAGATGACATTGCAGAACTTATGAAGAAACTTAAAACACTTTACGATTTGGATGACGTTGAGGAAAATGAGATAGTGGAGACTTTAATCCACCATCTGCACCGAGAACCTCAGAATCAGGAGCAGAGTCCACCAAGGAGTGTGTGGACTTGTTTGACTGATTGGGGAGAGACATTCATGAGCAGCTTCAGTTTTGGCTTGGGATTTGGCGCAGCTGCTGGCATTGTACTGACTGTGTGTTGTAAACTCCTGTCCTAAACACTGTTCTGAATCTGGGTGGTGCTTGAGGGAGGGGTTCCCGTCGATCTGATCTTCAGTTGCAGAACCTGGCTCTTGGGACGTGGAATGTCTCCTTTCTGGGAGAGATTGGGAGAGGGATTCCTGCCTCAAGTGGAGGAGTTTCAGTATCTGGGGATCTTGTTCACAAATGAGGGAAAAAGAGAGCGGGAGATCGACAGACGGATTGGAGCAGCATCTGCTGTGAAGCAGACGCTGTACCGGTTTGGAGTGGTGAAGAGAGAGCAGTGAAGCTCTCGATTTACCAGTCGATCTACGTTCCCACCTTCATCTATGGTCATGAGCTGTGGGTCATGACCGAAAGAACGAGGTCCTGGATACAAGCGGCCGAAATGGGTTTCCTCTGCTGGGTGTTTGGGGTCTCCCTTAGAAATAAGGTGAGAAGCTCCGTCATCTGGGAGGGACTCAGAATAGAGCCGCTGCTTCTTCAAGTCGAGAGGATCCAGTTGAGGTGGCTCGGGCATCTGATAAGGATGCCTCCCAGGGCGCCTCACTGGTGAGGTGTTCCGAGCACGTCCCACCGGGAGGAGGCCCCAAGGAAGACCCAGGACACGCTGGAGGGACTATGTCTCTCGGCTGGCCTGGGAACGCCTTGGGGTTCCTGGAGGAGCTGGAAGAAGTGGCTGGGGAGAGGGAAGTCTTGGTCTCCCTTCTGAAGCTGTTATCCCATGACCCAGAAACAGCGGAGGAAAGTGGATTTATGGACAAAGGTCTTTGTTATCATGCAGTTTCTAAGTGCAGTAAGAGGATGAGGAGGTTCTCCAAGCAATTCTATGGATGATTTTTCACTTTTACTTGTTTTGCATGACCTGTGGAGGGTCAAAAGTCAAGTTTTATTCACCAATTAGTTGTTTACTCTGTTTAATTCCCTGAAATTGATTCACTTACCTGGGGATTATATTGTTTCTTTGGTGGAAACTTAAATGCTGGGTACGCCTCGCTGTCTTCCTGCAAAAAAGGAGGAGAAAGGTTACTTATCTGACAAAATGAATACAAACATGATAAAAGAAAGGACTAAGTAGATTCCTCAAAGTGAGGTCCTTACCTGGAGCCTTGGGACTTTCTGTTTGGAAGCCATGTCGTCTACTGGGTCTTTTGGACCTCCTTTCCTGCAATGAAGAGAAAAAAAGACATTACTCACCTGGAATGTATTGCTTCTTTTTGTAATGGACAATCAGGTTGTTTACCTGTGATTTTGGGTTTTGTTTGGTTACCTGCAGCATCCCCTGAATTAGGTGGTTCATTTGCAGGTACTGGTTATAAAAAGTTTTATATACTTTGATTGTAATGTGGGCTGCACAGTGGCGCAAGAAGGTTCTGGGTTCAATTTCTGCATGGAGTTTGCATGTTCTCCCTGTGCATGTGTGGGTTCTCTCTGGGTACTCCGGCTTCCTCCCACAGTCCAAAAACATGACTGTCAGGTTAATTGGTCTCTCTAAATTGTCCCTAGGTGTGTGTGCATGGTTGTTTGTCCTGTCTGTCCCCTTGTTGCCCTGCGACAGACTGGCGACCTGTCCAGGGTGACCCTGTCACTCACCAGCAAAGACAAGGGTGTACAGGAAAAGGTATTAGATTTGCTTTTAATTAATTAAAAGCATGACTGTCAAATTCTCCCTAGGTGTGTGTGTGCATGGTTGTTTATATATATATATATATATATATGTATGTATATGTATGTATATGTGACATATATATGTATTTATTACTATTTTTATTATTATTGTTGTTGTTATTAGTATTATTACTATTAGTTTCACGCAAAAACATGAAGAAAGTGTGACAACTTTGCCGAAACATGTTGTTTGAGCTTTCACGGTGTCCGTAGTTCCCCAGACAAGCATGCCGAACAAGCGCTCATAACGAGCATGCGTGTATTTTGCCGCCTGTACGGTGCGGAGCGGCAAGAAGACGCAGGGGGAACCGTATCTGATGGGGAAACGCGGATTGACGTAACACCTGGATGGTTAAGCTAATATCATCCTTGACTCAAAACCACAAGTGTCAAAAATCTATAAAGGACTTGCATAAAGAAAATAAATCTCTCTCCTAGACACAGCAACATCTTGTGTTCTGCTCTTCTCGTTTTCCCCTTGAAACATAAAACACGTCGACGCTCCCGCCATATTGTGAGAGGAGACAGCGGTCAGTTGGTATTCAAATACGTCACAGTTTATGTTTTAATAAAATTAAAAGCGGTTTAACAATTATATTTTTGAAATAAATGTCTTATTTATTTTTTTACCAATTGTAAATGTAAACATCAATCCCTAAACAACATACATAGAAAAAATAAATGTAAGTATGATTCATCCAAAACTACTTAAATTAAATTAAGACGTAGGTGAAATTGAAAAGAACATTATATTTTATTGTCCCACAGTGGGAAAATTCAGGTGTACCAGCAGCAGGTTGGAGATCAGTAAAACCATGCATATTCACACAAAGGTAAAGTTGTAAAAAGAGACTAGAGGCAAATTTACATCAGACAATAATATTGTGTGCAGTTATTAAAAATGGTGTATTGTGTGCTTTTCAGTCCCAGGACTGATCAGATTTCTGTAGATAAAATAAACAATGACAGAAATGGGAAGCTTGTTCTATTGTTCTGCCACCTATAACAAGTGAACATCAGGCTGAATTAAAGGCAATCTACAGAGATCCTAGCAGCCTATCACAAAATCAGTAAATTGTTTAAAATCTCTCATGCAAATAAGTTGGCTGGTCTGAAATATTCTTTATTTGAAAATAGGTATAATTTATAATGCCTTATAAAAAAAAATAAAGAAATAGATAAAACCCAATTCTTCCTGGAACTGAATCCTAAAAACAAACTAAAATTGATTTTCTGTAAAACCAACCTGGTCAATACGTATGACAGAAATTCAGTTTAGCAGCAGCAATTTCAACAAAATGGATATAAATTCATTTTAAACCAGTAAGTGTCATACTTTGGAAATTGAGTATAACAGAACAAGAATTGAACCCTGGAAACTCAAACATTTTTTCCATTCTCCATTTCACATTTATCCTGATCTGGAAAATGATAGGTAAATTCATACTTTTTCAGATTTTAAGATAATTTATGAAACCCTTTATGTACTCACTGTTTTCACCTTTCACATCATTTATGCAATATATCCACTGCCCCACTTCTTCACGTGTCCAAGACATCTCAGCCCTTTTCACTGCCAATTTTATCTCCAAAGCACTCAATCCCAATTTCCCCACTAATTTTTAAATTCCAATTCCAATTATGTCAACTACCTCTCAATGAAAATATGAACATCTCCCAGTCTGTCTGTAAATGCCTCGGACTCCAGCCTGAACATCATAGAAGGTCTAATCTTACACACCTTTGATTTCACTGTTGAAAGCATCCAAAAAAGATTATTCCTACTCGAACAGCATGCAGCAGAATATATAAATAAATTATTAAATATTATTAGAAGTGTTGGCTGGTTTAGTTTTAAATATACAGGTGATGCAGATTTTTCAATGTGGTGTCCAATATTTGAGCACAGCATTGAGGCAATGCCTGGAGGGAAAACCTTCTAACAGGGGAAGTAGGTTTTTGTCCATCTGAAAAATTTATCTATTGAAAATACCCTGAGGGCATGATAACTCATTAATATTTTAAACATAATGGAAGCCAAATTAAAAAAAAAATCCACATTCAGACAGCTACAAAATGACACAAACACAAGTTTGTCATTATGAGCCAGTTTGGTTAGATTTTCCTGCATCAGACTGAATTTCTACATGTGTTTTCATGTGAGTTGTTAGCTTATACTTGCGATTAAAATGCATGTCACAGACATTACAGGTAAATCGTTTTTCTCCTGTGTGGACTCTCATATGCTGCGAAAGAGACCCTCGCTCGCAAAAAGCTTTCCCACAAACATGACAAGCACATGATTTTTCTCCTGTGTGCATTCTTATATGTATCTTAGCATGTGAGCTTTGACTGAACTGTTTTCCGCAGATATCACATCCAAACGGCTTCTCGCCCGTGTGCACCCTCGTGTGTATTTTAAGCTCTACTGGTCGGCGAAATGTTTTCCCACAAACATCACAAGCAAAAGGTTTCTCAGCTGCATGGACCACCATATGATTCACAAGACTCCCTTGTGAATTAAAACTCTTGCCACAAAAATCGCAAATAAACGGTTTCTCTCCTGTGTGGATTCTTATGTGCGTCTTAAGATTTGCGCTGCGGAGAAATTTTTTACCACAAAAACCGCAGTCAAAAAGTTTCTCTCCAGTGTGGATTCTCATGTGTGTCTCACGATGCTCTTCTGCACGAAACCTTTTGCCACAAACATCACAACTGAAAGGTTTCTCTACAGAATGGGTGATCATATGAGTCTTTAGGAGTGACTTAAAATTGAAACTTTTCCCACAGTCCCCACAGCTAAACGGTTTGTCTTTAGTGTGGTTTTGCATGTGCATCCTAAGACGTGATTTAACATTAAATGTTTTACCACACAGATCACAGCTGAAAGGTTTGTCTCTGTGGACCTTCATGTGTTTGTTAAGGTTCATCTGGTAATAAAATCCTTTTCCACATTTGCTACAAGTGAGTGGCTTTTCTTCAGCATGAACTCTAAGATGTGCCTTATGATCGCCCATTCTGCGAAAACCTTTACCACAAATATCACAGAGAAAAGGTTTCTCATCTGCATGTATTTTCATATGTGTCCTCAGTTGCACATATTCGCTAAAGGTTTCACAGCAATTTTTACAGAGAAAACGCCTTTCCCCAGAGTGGACCCCCAGGTGCTTCTTAAGGGACCACTTGTGGCGATACTGTTTACCGCACTCGGAGCAGCTGAAGGATATTGCAGCAGTTTTACTGGCTACATTTTTCTCATCACCTGGCTCAAGTACAATGGTCTGCTTCGAGGCTTTGATTTTTGTTTCAGATCCAGAACCGGCAGATTCGTTGCTGCTTACATCAGTTTCTGAAGATGGTGAATCATTTTCAATTGAATTTAATTTTAAGTTATTATTTGGATCAGAGTTATTATCTGGATCCAGTCCACCACAGTGGTCTCCTTCTGTTTTTATCTGCCGAGTAGAGCTGTTGGTTGAAGGTTCTGTCTTCACATCTTCTTCAATTTTGACTTGATTAAGCAGCGAAGACTCAAGTTTCTTTTCGTCATCTTCAGTTTTCACAGTTTCAGCAGTGGGGTTGATCCTGACTTCATTTTCTTCACCTTTCAGTTCCATAGTCTCTTGTTTCTGCTTGCCGAAGCTCGGTAGAACTTCTTCTTGTCCAACCAGACCTGAAATACATGTATAATCAAATATCAAACCTTACTCTAGTTTCTAAACAAAGAAAATGTTAATGGCTTGTTGATAATTTAGGACAGATTTAAATAATAAATACTATAAAATGCTAAAATTACAAAATACTTTATCCAACAGACTGCCTGTAATTGCTCTTGGATCAGTGTGAAACCTATATAAATTTGGTCAAGTTTAATTTGGGGTGTAAGGTACCTGCTCTAATGCATTTTTGTCTTTAGGTTGTGTGAGGCAGGACTTCGTTTCATGTGAGTTGATCACAGGCTGCTCCGATGACTATGCTTTCCAAATTAAAGTAATTTTACTATGCATAATATTACAATAAGCTAGGTTCTAGGTTCTGAGAACATCGACTGAAGCTAAAACTCTCCCCTCTTTGGTGAGTTCAGTCCGTCTTAGACAATTAACATCTTAGAACTGCTTCAAAACACTTTGCTTTAGTCAGATAAAACGGATGGATAGGACATTCGGTTGATAAAACAATTATTTTCTTACTAAGATCTCTGTTGGTTTGTGTTTGCTAAGGCTCCGATGTGGATGCTGCAGCCTTAAGAACCCTCCCTGGGTCGTCTTCTTGATGTTTTTTCTTTCCAGACATCCGTGTGCTGCTTCTCTTACCCCTCTCCATGCTTGTTTGCAGCTCAGAGATGAACTGTAGCTTTAGGTTTCAGGAAGTATTTCCTGCTGATTTCACACAAACAACAACAAAAATTTAGAACCTGGAATAAAAATAGAAATGAATATCATGATCATTCAAATCACTGATCTACAAAATGTTTGTATATATCACAATTAGGGCTGGGACTTTAAAGTTGGGTTGTGTAACTTCTATATAATGTATCTTTTTTTTTACATATTTATTAAGATTATCATTATGTCATGACAGTATAAGATAGATAATCTTAAACAAAATCAAGCTCCTCTGCCTTTTCCCTATTGTGTTACTAAGCAAATATACTACTCTGTCAGAAGCAATCAATCAGAACCAGGAGGAGAATCTCAGCACTGTCAATCCTCCTGGTGTATGTGCTGCTCAGACCCTCCCCCTTTCTCTCTGCTACACTACAATTAGTTCATCACAACAGAGTCTGTCATGAATGCTCAAGCTAGTTAGCATGGCCGCTGACAGCAAATCATCATTCAAATGTTTTCTAAAACTGCATGAATTAATTCATGTGGAATTTTGATAGAAAATTGACAGAAACAGCCCACACATTCACGCAGAAACTACTGTTCTGGCTCGATCTCTTTGATTTTATTTTTAATATTTCCCATCAGTTAGAAGCTACATTTTCTTTCTGTGACAGTTTTTGATCTTTTGGTGCTAAACGGGTTCGTCTACAATGACAGAAACCTTGAGGTATTTCACTGGACACATGCTTATTTTGCTGATCACTTTCCCAAAGATGTACAACGTGGATGCAGCTTGTCGTTATTAAAGGTGTTTGGTAGAACATCTCTCAGGTCTGTGACGCTGGAAGTCGAAGATAAATTCAGTCTTTGCAGTGGAAATGTGGACTAACGATCCTGCTAATGACTCTGCGTGTCCACTTAAAGCTCCTGGCGATTTCATCAGCGGGTTAAATTATTTGTCAGACAAAACAATTTGTGCTTCATCAGTGAATAGAGCAGGGAAAGAAGGCCAGATTGTATTTACCTTTATTTTTTTCTCTCTCTATCCCTCTTCGCAGCTCCAAGATTAACGCTCAGTCTGGGTTTATTCATCTGACCTCTTCCTCCATTTGACACAGTTTTGGCTTATTAAAGACTTAAAGCAGCGGCAGCAGCACAGAAGAGACAAAAATATATATATATGAGTTTCACCCAGGAGCGTGCAGCTGGAAAAAGCTCTACCGGAAACACGTGACATTTGCTGGTGGAAATACGTTTTCACAGCTAGACGGTGTGTTTTTTTTGTTTGTTTTTTTTTGCGTTTTCCTGATTGATCCAGACCGCAAACGTTCTGATGTTAAAATAGTCGCAACAAGCACAAAAATGTATGCACAAGAGAACAATGTTAGTGTCATCTGTAGGATTTTGCTGCTGTTGGACGATGTTAATGTTTATCTGAGAGTCTGACCAACATCAGAACAATCCCGGGTTTAAGCTGTTTTAATAAACTGCTTACCGACACATCTAAGGTTGTACATGAGCAACAGTAGCAAATTTCTAAAAACGAGTAACCGCGAAACAAAAATAATCAGACAAATCGAAACAAGTACATAAACATATTTTTTAAAAAGTGCCAGCCTCAATATGCAAAGAAACTTGTTTTCATAAATGTATTAATTTTTCAATAAATCCAAACTATTTTTCTGTCCAAATTTTTTCTTATTTGTTTATTTATTTATTTTACATTAACATTTAAGGTTGCAACATGACAAAATAAGAAAAAGGTTATGAATAATATTGCAAGACACTTAGGTCCGTATGTTTTGAGAAATACAATTTCAGGGGTAGGAACTTTTAATTGGGTGCTTTGTTGAGAAGAACGGAGGAACAAAATAATTGTAGTACTGACGAAGCTAGTGCTTTCGGAGGAGGTGGTTAGGATGTTTGTACAGATTAGGTTATGATGAACGGTATAAGAAGTTTAAGACAAGATTAATGGCATAGCAGGGAGATCCCTGGCCACAAGCTGATTAACAAAGGAGGATGGAGGCTAAATAAATCCAGAAGAACCCATAATCTTCATTTGATGGATTGAACGGAGAGAATAAGCGAGAAAGCGCAGGTAAATACGGTGTGGCCTTCTTTCCTGAAGAATGCATACATTTGCAGATTATCATAGCTGCCTGATGGAAATAGATGGAGCTGAGTGGTTCTCCAATCGTTGTGATTTTTCTGTTTGTGAATTTAGAAGAACCAAATAAAAAGTATAGGTGTGTAAAAAGCGATGCCTGATCAAAATTACATCTAAAATTAATTAGTCGTTGGCGGTATGGTCTTCTTTCTACTTAAGATACATTTTTACTATAGCTTTAATTAAAAAGTTTAGTTAAATGTAAATCAGTTGATCTTGTAAGTAAAACTTAACATGAAAGTAACTGAACTCCCGCTTGGACGAGCTGTACGCTGGTCCAGTACGTCAAAGCGTCCGCCATATTGGGAGTGGAAAGAGCCAACATGAACTTAAATTGTGTTTTTACAGTTCCAGGCATCCTTCCTAAAGCAGCAGAAGTGGATCCATGCTGGATGCTCTAAAGTCTAAATTTTTGAAATATCTTTTATAAACAACAAAAGAAGAATCCCAAGTGGAGCGAGGATGTCTGAAATGATGAAGCTTGAAGCAAATGAAGCTGGAGGGATCAGCTTGGAACCTCCTGCAGCATCCATATCAGAACTAGAGGAGGAAACACAAGACAACAAAGATCTCAGTAAGTGGTATAATTAAGTAGTTTTAATGATGCTGCAAATCCTTGCCGACATCACAGTTTGTTTATTACTCTTTAGCTCAGAATTTCATTAATCCTCATCATGCATCTTTATATATTGCCTGGACTAATAACTGCAGCACAATCTATTAAGCACTTCATAAGCAGACAACAATCTTTTCTATAAAGACTTTATGTTTTCTGCACTATTATAACATTGTAGCAGTCGGTGGCCTCATGAATCTAAGATACCCATGTAGCATCTCTTCATTGGGGAGTCGAGTATATCAGGTTATGCTCAGACACACACAGATCATACTCACTTATTCCCTTTAGGTGTCTCTGTCATCCCATCAATGGTTTGTTTATCTGAGGCTTACAGTTTTAAATCAGATTGAAGAATAAATCTGAATAGCATCTCTTAGCTAAACAATTCTAAAGCAGCTATGGCCATATAGACACAAGAAAACATCTTGATATATAGAATACTTATCCTTTGAGATTGAGTGGTAAAATAAATGATTCATATTTTATTGTGGTTACTGTATCTACTTTTGCCTCTGCCACTGGACATACTGCATACATTTTCATGTATAATGACTTCACAAATCAGCAGTTCTATTGTTTTGATGTTTGTCTTGCAAATTTCTGCAAGGCACACTTGCAGATAATATTTGCTAGTGTGTATTATCTGACGCGCATGAACATAAGAGAAGTTTAGAACTGTGTTACAATAAAGACCATCCATGTCTATGAAATGATGCCTCATCCCCCAATGCTCTGAGGCCACCACAATCCACTGACTGTTTTGAAAAAGTGTGTAAAATTTACAGAATCTGGAATAAGGCTGTTGACAGTAATATTTCAAATATAGTCAAGTTAAATGTTAAGGTAGTTTGATGTCAGCTAATCTTTTTTCCTCTGCTGTTTGTCTGTTTTAGTGTTACTTGAAGACGATCGGCAGCAAATTGTAATCAAAGAAGAGGTTTCCCGGAACACTAATTTGGACCAATGCCATTCAGAGCCGGCTCAGATAAAAGAGGAAAAAGAGGAACTCAGGATCAGTCAGGGGGAGAAGCAGCTTAATGAGGAACTGGAAACAGATATCAATGAATTCCCCCTTATGATGGTTACTGTGAAAAGTGAAGGTGGAGAAGAAAAAGCTCAGTTCTCAGAACTTCTTCAGGTCAAAACTGAAGAGACCAGAGAACCAGAACTTCCCACCAGAAGGTCAACCGAACAGATAAAAACAGAAAGTGATGAAGAGGACTGTGAGGGACCAGAACCCTCAACAGATCCAGATCAACCTGGTCGTGTGCAGCCAAAGACGGATGAAAAGGCTTTAGACTCATCCAACTCTACTAAAACCGAAGCCAGTGATGATGAGTACTGGCAGAAGTCTTCTGATTCTGAACTTGAAATTGAAGATGGAGACTATAATCCATATGCATCAGTGTCAGGGGGAAAATATGGTGCAGGAGGGAACTCTGTGAAAATCACCTTCAGCTGTTCTGTGTGCAATAAGCAGTTTGATTCAAAGTTCAATCTCAAAACACATTTACGAGTGCATACAGGGGAGAAACCGTACGGCTGTGACGACTGTGGGAAGCGATTTACCCAGAATGCAAATCTCCTGCGGCACAGGCTGGTGCACACAGGCGAGAAGCCGTTTGTCTGCGATATTTGCGGTAAAAGATTTAGCCAGAGTTCAGCACTAAAGACACACATGACTGTCCACACAGGAGAGAAGCGACTTAGCTGCTACGTTTGTGGTAAAAGACTCGCAACAACCTCAAATCTTAGAGCACATCTGAGCGTCCATACCGGAGAGAAACCATTCAGCTGTGACGTCTGCGGAAAAAGATTTAACAAAAGAGCAAATCTCCGGGCACATATAACACTCCACACAGGAAAGAAACCATTTAGCTGTCATATTTGTGATAAAAGATTCACTCAAAGCTCTATTCTTAGGAGACACATGGACGTCCACACAGGGGAAAGGCCATACAATTGTGAAGTGTGTGGTCAAAGATTTACTTCAACCGAAAATCTTGAGGAGCATATGAACACTCACATCAAACCAACTGACTGTGAAGTTTGTGGTAAAATCTTTACCAAATCTGCAAATCTTCTGGCACACATGAGCACCCACACTGGAGAGAAGCCATTTGCTTGCGATATTTGCGGTAAAAGATTTACTCAGAATTCAACTCTGAGGAGGCATACGAATGTCCACACAGGAGAGAAGCTGTTTGGCTGCAGTGTTTGTGGTAAAAGGTTTACTCAGAACTCAACTCTCAGTCGACACATGAGCATCCACCCGGGGGAAAAGCAGTTTGGCTGTGATGTCTGTGGTCAAAGATTTGGTACGACAGCGGAGCTTAGAGCACACATGAGTTCCCACGAAGGAGAAAAACCCTATAGGTGCAACAATTGTGGCAGAAGATTTGTTCGAATCTCAAACATGAAGAAACACGCGTGCATCCAGTTAGAGAAATCATCACGTTCATGACCAGCATGTTTAAAGTGCCTTGTTGGGCTTTTATTAGAATGTAGTCATATTTCTCATATAGCTTAATAACAAAAGATCATATTATCAATTTACTTCAAGTGAGATGAAATATTATGAACAACCCCCCTCCCCTCCAGGGCTCTTTACCTTTCCTTTTATTAAAACTGACAGTACTCTGGATTTCAGTTTTATTTCAATAGGTATACAAAAAATATACTTGGAAACTTTTAATGTGATAAAAATGCTGGACTGTATATGCCGTTAGACCTTTAATTTTAAATTTTCTAAGAAAATGTATCTACAGTTGCAATCAGAAATAGTGAACCGTCTCAACTTAAAGGCCTGTGACGATTAACCAACAAGAAATATGTGTTGATGCATATATATTTCACTCATTTGATTTGTGCATAGTGTTGTAGAAGTTGAACTCTTGTTTTCACAGATAGGTCAATAATCAGTCCACTCTACCCAACAGGGCTCACATCCAAACGTGTTAGATTAATAAAAGGTTGGAATGGGCTTGGACGTTTTTGCTCACAAACCCACAGACTTCTAATTATTTGTCTTAGAGTGATTTTTGCATCACACATGGATGCCTTCCTTTGTGAGGTTTCTGTGAACGTCACAACTGAAGTCAATGAAGGATCATTAGATGTTACTCTGTTTTCCATTACAAAGACTCTAAGCTTTAGGTTTTCTGTGTTAAAATGTGAAACGTCAAACCTAATTAAATTTACTCCCAAATGAAATATTGTTTATTTCCAGTGTTATATTAATGAATCACTCAACTAATAAAAAATGCTATCCAAAGAAACAATGGTAGATCCTTCCAATCTTTCTGGGTTTTTCCTGTATTTGTGATTGTGGGTTTGTAGGTTCCTTGCAGATTTGTGCTACCAAAACGTTTTCTGCAGCATTCTTCTTGTCTTGATCACAGGAACAATGTTTGTCTTAATTCCTTTAATTGTTCCTCTTCATGCTTTCCAAGGCATTAATGCTGCCTTAAATCTCCCTAAATTCAACAATTCTGTAAATATTTGTCTTGAACATTTCTAGCAAGAAAGCATCAGAGCCGTTGCTGCGGTGCACCTTATCTTTGAGTTGACATGTTGAGCCTGGATCTGTTGGACTTGTTTCATTGTACACTCCAGTGGAGTTAAATTAAATTTGCATCTTGACTGAATTATTCCTGACCTTTAGTGTGTATTTAATCTATGGGATACCAAGCAGTTTCATCAGTTTCTTCAGATCAGTGGGACTCCTATGTTTTTTCTGTGGGTTTTTAATTTCCCCTTTCTCTTTCACTGGAAATTAAAACGTATTTGTCTTTTTATTCGGTGTATGTATGGTTTTGACTGTATACACAAATATTTGTTTGACTCAACATCATAGTTAAAGGATGACACTAGAGGGCGAACATTGAGAAGTAAAGCAAATAGGTGTTTTCCTGCTAAAAGTCCTGGAGAAGTTAAATGATGTGGAAGCCATGTCTGGATCTTGCAGAATAAATAGAAAAACGTCACTGGAAAGGAAGACATCTAGAAACCCATGTCAGTCACTGGAATGAATGAATCAAGACCAGATGGTTGGACTTTAATTTGTAAATTATATTTTGTCAGAACATGGAGGTTTTTGCTTGCAAAAAAAAGGTATCTGCAAGTGGAAATTGTTGTTTTTCTCTCTCTCTCTTTGCCTTATTAGAAAAATGAGCTGCACAAATACACAAAAGCTATATATGCAAAGTAAATGAACTCACTTTTAATGGTAGACCTAGTGTTTAATGTAAAAACCTTTCTGTGGCTTCAAGCTGTTTGTGTCACAATTGTAGAAAATATATATTTTTATAAGCGTCTCTGATTGATCAAATAAAGGTTTGTAGATCTTAAGTGATTCCCATAAACAGCACTAATTAAACTGAGCATAAGTCGTGGATCTGCAGGGCTTCAGGTGAGCATGGTCAGAATGATTAAAGCAGCTGAGCCTCTAATATAAACTCAGCTGCAGCAGCAGAGTAGTTACAACACAAGGCTTTGTCTGCTCTTTGCAGAGAGCAACATGCAGCAGCAGCAGTGTGTTTTTAGGTACGTTTTCCTCTATATGACCTCTTGTTAATGTTTCTGTGTCTTCACTGAACTTTCATGTTTGAACAGAAATTCCTGGATTTGCCTGTTGTTCAGCTTTGGAGCCTGTGTTCCTGTCAGGAAAGGTAATGATGCCATTTTTTTCTTCTTGTGAATGCCTCCACCTGAATAACTGTTATCTGAATATATATTTTTATTTTCTTTTTTCCCTTCACCGCAGATCAAAGAGTCCCCCAAGCTGGCTCTACTACTAGTGGTGTTTCAGTTGATTTTGGCTCTGATGGTACTGGGTCCAGTGCTGGCTTTAGGTCTGCTGTTGGTGTCTCCTCTGTTGTTGATGCTGGTTCTGATGTGGACTGTTCACCTGCAAAGGATGCACATATTTTTCAGATGATCGCTGACATGCTGAGCCTGGACCCCCACAGAAGTCGTCCTCTCCTCCAGGCTCAGTGGAGCGTTCCTCAGGGAATGGCTGCATCGCGCCCTGTGAACCCTTCATCCCTCATCATTCACAGCGAGTACCGGCAAGAGACTTCCCCTCTGACTCCAAATACACCCAGGATACATTTGACCACATCCCTGTACCTGGAGCCCCACAGCACCCAGGCAGTGGGTCTAAAGAGCACCAGAAGATCTGAGGTACAGACTTGCTGCAGTGGACTACTCGACATCCTAATGCGATACTAACTTCTGTTTCCTGCAAGAAGCTACAGAATTGACTCTTAAAAAATTATTTTGAAAATAAAACTTGATCTCGCCTCTGTATTTTTCTCTTGCTCTGTTCAGTGAAATTTAAGCATAGACCTTAAGGTTTATGCTTAAGTTATGAAGTTCTTGGTTGTGACCAGGGTTTTTTTTTTTTTTTTTTTTTTAAATGCATGGTACTTCAAACTCAAAAAAATAACTAGGAGTTGAGTAAAACGTAGTTTCAGAAACCTGAGATGAGGTTTCTAAATGGTCAGGCAATGAGAAATTTGTGACCTGATTTCAACCATTGTTATGACAAGTTGGGTGAACTTTTAATTGGTCTGTACCCGTTTCCTGTACAAGCTTCAGATTAGTTCAAAGCCAACCTGAAGCTTAGAAATTTGGTACAAGGCATCAATTTGGGAAATTAGAGCACAAATCCACTGACAGCAGAAAACTTGACTTGCCAGCCAAGTTTTCACTTGGGTAAGTCAAGCTGACTTACTGTTTCCACAGCAAATTAACTTTCTACTGCATGAATCTTGAAGCAGTGGGTATTGCATGCAAATGCATCTTGCAATATTTTGCACAGGTTTGAGGATGGCCACCCTTGTGATGTGGACACATTGTAAGCATATTTCAATTACAGTGCACTGATGAAGCATCTGGAGAGGGTTTTCTCATTTTTCTTGTCGAACGAGTTATAGTAGACTGTTATAAATATGAGAGAAGATATGAGAAGTCTGAAAAAATTAAGTAAAAGTTCAGATACACTCAGAATTAACTGGAAACGTATACAACTCAATTTTTTAAGGAAAGAAAAAAAAATTGTAGAAATTATACAAGTGATTCACACTTCATACCAGTAGGTGGCGGTAAGGCACATCTTCGGTTTTCTTGCCAACCGCCGAGAAAAAAAAAGCAGAAGAGCTTTTTGAATCTACCGGATGTCGGTGTCTTATGTGTGAGCCTTTCGATTCTCAGTCTAATACAGTTTTCCATCACAGCAAGAACATCAGAGGCGTGAGAGGACCAGGATTACGATGGAAAGCTGCAGGTCTGGAAAACAGTGCAGCTACGTTGACTCTGTGAAGGAAGAGAGTGAAGGTAAATCACTAAATCTACGCATTAGATTTAGATTTGATCATTAGAATCGATGGAAGCATGAAGTAAACAGGAAATAGCTGTTTACTGGGGTGCTCTGGCGTCAAATATGTATACTGAGACCTACAACGACAGACATAAACAGCCAGATGTCGCCAGGGGTCCGTTTCAGGAAGCGGAATTGGTGAACACTTCAAGAAACTTCAGGGGTAATGCTGCGTTCCAGTTGCACTCGGAACTGGGAAAGTCCGACTTCCCAGTCGCCCTCGGAGGTCTGATTTTCCACTGAGAAACTGGGAGCGACTCCCACTATCCGTAGTTACTATTTGTGAGGTGGATTTCTCGTTTTTCAACATGGCCGGTCCTCGCATCAACAACAGTAAGCTGTGGTGGAAACATGCTTATTTGACAAGACACGCATGTAGAAGTGCGTCTAAAATCAATGTTACATGTACCGCTTGCAACTGTAAGCTGGAGAAATTAAAAGTAGTGTTTGTAACAGCTATTGCAAACAGACGTTCATGGGCGTCGCCATGTTGAAATTCCGACTTCTTAACAAGATTGCGGTTACCTCGTGTCTGACGTAAAAGCCACCTCCGAGTTCCCACTTCCCAGGTAACTGGAATGCAGCATAAGTTTGGACATACCCTGGGTATTTGGTTTCAAGAAGCCAGCACCGGCTGCCTTTAGCAGTGTGATAAATTTTTACAGGCACACCTTGAACATCATATAACTTTTTTTTTTTTTTTTTTTTAAATCAAGCTTCTGAAAAATCTAATTAGGGAGTCTTTTGTTGGAGGGGATACACATTAATTACTTAAAACCTTTAGTTCTATATTGCCAATTTTGATAGGATCAATCCTCCATTCCCTAAATGATCTTCTTAAAACTAGCTGATGTAATTCTAAACAATTATTCAGGAAAGAGATTAACCACAGATGGGGTCTGGGGGCAAAGAGACTGAGGCAAGAGACAAGAATGAGGCACCACTAGGATTAATGACGCAACCTAATGATAGTGAAAGAGCAACAAAATGGAGAAATGGAATTAGTTTAAATTATCTCTGATGCTGGCTCAGCAAAGAGAGGTCATGTGAGTAATTTAACCATTTTTTTTCTTCCCTTTTCAACAAATTTGTTACAATGGAGGGAGATGCAACTGAGAAAGATGAGAACAACAAAAGACACAAGAGCCACAGATGCAGCTATGATGACAGATAGAAAAGAATATTAAAAGGAACAGATCTGTAGTTAATCTCAGTTTCTTCCTGAATAGCTTTCCGTGCCTACAAGTATGTTTTTCCTGTTAGCCCTGAGTTATCAGGTGGAAGAGATGAAGCAGAGGAAACCAAAGGGGTAAAGAGACAAGAGAGAGCAGCTGAAAAGACAACTAGGAAGGTAGAGAGAGAGACAAAATGTTAGAGCTGGGAGTTACACAATATAAGTAAGACCTGCGGTCAAGTTCACGAACACTAATCCCCTAAACATCAAAATGTGGAAATAGTACTTTCTACAATACACAGATCTTGGAGTGAAATGTAAACAATATGTTTTTGTGTTTCCTGCAGAAGAGCAGCAGCCGTTGGTGATTAAAGAAGAGGTTCCTGATCTGAGCAGTTCCAGTTTGGACCAGCAGAATCTCAGACCTCCTTTACTGGTTTTAAACAAACTTCAGTCCGGGAGAAAAGGTCGTTTGTCTTATGCTGTGTATGTCTGTGTATACCCTTTATTTCTAAAAAAGCAAGTTTAATTCAAAATGAAATTAAGACTTTTGCTTCTAACGTGGACACAGTAAAGTTATTCTGGTTTTAAATTTCAAGCGGTTTTACAAGTTGCTGAAAAATCTGAGCCAGTTTACTACGTTACATTGTCCATCTTTCTACTCATTGGTCCAATAGTTTGTGGAGGTTCCAGGTTACGGAACTGTCAGTATATTTTCATGCTTTTGCATGTTTTATAGGCACAGCAATTCTACCATAAAACATTGTTTTTGTTTTTCACAATAAACAGACTTTGGTAGAAAATCTAACCAAGAGGTCTATGTGTTTGCTCCAGGAAGTCAGCAACTGTGGGTGGTTAAAGAAGAGGTTCCTGATCTCAGCATTTCCAGTTTGGACCAGCAGAACCTCACATCTTTCCAGGTGAAGAAGGAAGAAGAGGAACAGTGGATCAGTCAGGAGGTAGAGCATCTTACTGTGAAGAATGAGAAAGAAGAGAAGCCTCAATTGTCAAAAGTTCATCGCATCAAAAGTGAAGACAGCAGAGAGACAGAAGCTCCAACCAGCAGCTCAGCTGCAAAGGTGAAGACAGAACCTGATGGAGAGATCAGTGGAGGACCAGAACCCAACAGAGAGCTGGATTCAAGTACTTATTTACAGCCAAATACTGAAGAAAGTTATTCAGCCTCTTTTGAGACTGAAGTCGGTGATGAGAGCGAAGATGATAATCTATCAGGTTCTGAATCTGAAAATGAAGACAGTGATGAAGATTGGAGGGAACCCAGAACACGTCAGTCGGGTGTAAACAGCAAAGTGGGACGTAAAGCTGCCCAAAAATCCTTCAACTGCACTGACCACTTTAAACAGTTTGTGAGGAAGCAGATGTTCCAGAAACATATGGCAGGTCATTCAGGAGAAAAGTCTTCCAGCTGCTCGGTTGAGAAGAATCACTCTAGAGGGAAGCAAAACAGTGATGCACAGATGGGACTCGAACCAGGCAGAAAATCATTTTCTTGTGACGATTGTGGTAAAACATTTCAGAAACTAGGTGCTCTTAAATGTCATGTGAGAATCTATCGCTGTGAAAAATCAACTGTTTGTGAAGATTGCGGCAAAATCTTTCACAGTCGGTGTCATTTGAAAACTCACCATAGACCCCACATGGGAGAAAGACCCTTTGTCTGTGATAAATGTGGCAAAAGGTTTACCCGGAAGCCCGGCCTTCAAGTTCACATGACTTGCCACACAGGAGAGAAACCATTTCAGTGTGAGGTATGTGATAAGAAGTTTACCTCAAATGGATCTCTGACGGCCCACATGACGATCCATAAAGGGGAAAAACCATTTAGGTGCACCGACTGTGGCAGATGCTTCAGACTTAAGGATGTTCTAAAAAGCCACATGATAACCCACTCAAATTTAAAACCGTTTGTCTGTGGGTATTGTGGCGCCACTTTTACACGGAAACAAAGTTTACTCCTGCATGTTAGACTCCACACTGGGGAGAATCAGTTGTCATGTGATCAATGTGATAAAAAGTTTGTCCTTAAGAGTCGCCTTGTTAAACATATGCAGATTCATCAGAAGGAGGAAAAAGTGGTGGCTGGGAAGGGAAACTTCGCTTGTGAGGAATGTGGAAGGAGGTTTGTCCAGAAGCGGTATCTAAAAAGTCACATGCTTATGCACACAGGAGAGAAACCATTTAGTTGCGATCTGTGTTTTAAGTTGTTTACACGAGCGGAAAATCTGAGGAATCACAAACTGAGGATTCACAGTAAACAGAGATTTCATACTGAGAATTCGTTTGGAAAGACTTTCTGTACAAACGCCACAGCAGTTCAGATTATTTTGCTTCCTTTTGACCAAGATTAGCTTTGACATGTTGAGTTTGACATGATCTCTTTGCTTCATCGTGAGCAGAGCAGTGTCTGGTATTAGCAAATAATGGGGAAAACTGCCTCTGTTCTGTGATAAAATGATTTTGGCAGCTCATTGTCCCGATATGTCTGGCCGAGCATCTAGTGTATGTTAATTTTATTGTGTTCATTTATATTCTGTATTATTTCTATTTTTAACAAGTGCATAAAAAATGAATTTATTGTTTCAGTAAGGTGTATGAAGCACAAAATGTTACAAAAAATGTAGAATAATTGCCTTATTTTTACATTTATTTTATGTCTTTTTTTTTTTGTTCTAAGTAGAGGTCTTGGTCAGTAAAGTGTCTGGCTGACATGATGTAAGGATTCATACCAGAAGAGTTGATATTTTTGTTAACAGTTGAGCATCGTTGGCCTCTAGGCTCATTTATGGAAAAACACAACTGAGGTCATACACACAGGAGAAATCACAGTAACAAAGATAAAAATTCTGTTTTATACACAATCTTCTGTGAAAAGTTGTCAATGAATTTGTCCGTAGTGGATCTTGATGTGCTGACTCAAGGCTTACAAATCAGTTATTGAATGGATTTTATGTAAAAATAAATAAATAAATCCATTCAACAGTTATCGGTTACCAGTGCATATTTTCAAACCAGATTTTCTTTACAATCAGTTTCATATGAATATACTTGGATACAGCACTCTGAATAAACAGCTTCTTTAGCAGTGACTTTTTGTGGTTTACCCTCCCTGTGGATGGTTTCAATGTTTGTTTTTCTGAACATCTGTTCAGTCAGCAGTTCTCCCTGTGATTGTGTAGCTCACTGACTCAGACTGAGAATCCATTTAGAGGCTCAGGAAACCTTTGTGGATGGTTGTCAAGTTAATTCAGTGATTAGAGTGTGACACAACGAATTTTCAATATTGAAATGTTTTTCTACTTTTCGGAGACACTGAGTTTTGTGTTTTCGTGATCTGTAAGCCATAAATGTAACAATTACAAGAAATAAAGGATTGAAAAACTTCACTTTGTGTAAGAAATCTAGATAATAAAAGTATCACTCTCTGAAATAACAGTCAAAAATATTAAATTCCTGAAAGATATGTTAACGTTCTTTTAGATGTAGCTGTACATATGTCTCAGTTTTTAGTCCAGTCCCTTTTAACTCCTGTTATGTTCATTTCTGAGGTACAGCAATAATGTTCCTGGGTCAATTTGACCCTTGGAGTGTTTAACCATGCAACAGTGTCAGAAACCAAAACATTTTTGCATCTGATTTTCAACTCCAATACTAATCATTTCAATCAATATTTGTGCAATGATTTATTTATTTTTTTGTCATTTAATTTTTTTATGCCCACTAAAAAAACTTAAACACACACACACAAAAAAAACAAACAAACAA